AGGCCGAAGTCGTGCCAAGCTTGTTTCGCAATCAAAACAAAACAGTTCCTGCTTCTACACTTCTTTACCTTCGTTTCAACTCTTGACATGTTGGTCACGCATAGAAATAAAACGGCTCATAAACTACCACAGAAAACTGAAACTCATACCTATTGTACGAGGACACGAGTACTGTAGAAATTGTACATCAACAAAACGTTTCTGCGGTTGCTTTGACATTTTCTGGTCGTCAGGCCAACTAGTCCAAATAGCCATTCTTCTTCAGCAGCAGAACTTGTGCGCAAACTATCGTCCAAGCGTATAGCATTCACAATGCAAAAAAAAAGGCTGCCAGCCATGCAGTGAGTATAAGTATACGTGATGACTGCTCACATTTTGTTCTTATAAGGCGCACATACATTTCTTGAACGTAATCTAGCTTAACATGAATTCTTATACATTTTTAGTTGACTTATGTTGCCTTCCTGATTTGCACATCTGACACTTGTTTCTTTATTTTGTCTTTTTTTTCTTGTGTGTTATAAATGTTGTACCCACCCCCTCTGTAATGCCCTACGGGCCCTGAGGGTATTCTAATAAATAAATAAATAAATAAATAAATAAATAAACATACCGTCACACATTAGCCTTTACGTGTTCAAGCTTGTCAGGCTCTGTGTTCTAATCCTTCCAGGTGATCTTTGTTTTAATCGGCAGATTCGTTTTAACTTATAATCAGCTTGAGTTATGACAGCGTTACGAAGACTGACAACGGTCACATGCCTTTGCAATGACGACATTGACTATATATACGTTACCAACCTAGAATGTGTTCTGTTCGGAGTTTTCGTCACTACAGTTTTGCACTGAGCTCACCATTCGTGATTCTCCAACGACGTGTAAAAGGCGGTAAGCACCACCGTTACAAGCAACACCAAATGGCAGTCGTTCGCTAAGTTGCCAGAAGAAAGTTCCTGGGACATGGCGTGAGATGACTCTCATCACAGGGTCATGTAACCTAAAGCCCCACGTTTGTTGGCACAAGTTGTGGCAAGTTAACGAACGGTGAGCAACAAAAGCACTGCGCAGAATTTATAGCTTCGATATCCTTGATTTGTCTTCAGAAGAAAGCCGCGGAAGCGCCCTTGAAGTCGTACTGCTATGACGAGGTCAAAGGTGACACGTGACACACACCTAGAAGTGAGAACACTGTGAGCATCCTAAACTGCATACTTTTACAGCACGACAGAGTAACAATCCCTAGCTACGCAGAGGCGTGAGGAGCTCTTCGCAAGCTTGGAATATCCTGCCACTTCACCATAGCACCCACTAAAAATGGCGCCGTTGTCCTAAGTCATTGCCATGCTTCTACTGCGTAGAATTACCCGCGGTGTTTTTCCATCGTCAGTGACAGTTTTTTTAGCAGTTAAATACGCAGTTGCAACAACAGCTACCTTGCCAGCTGTCACTCCCATATGCAGTATAATTGGCAATGTCAACACTGAGTCTTGCAGCTTGCATTGTAGCAGCCAACTCTTATCCGGCTTCCGCTCCGCCTTCTATTATTCGTTTCATTCAATAACTTTTCGCTACGCTAGACCAAAGACCTTGCTTCGGAGCCTGTTTAGGGCCGAAACTACGAGCAGTCACTTGGTTGGCATAGTGGTTCTTCTTTTGCCCGTGTGGTCATTAAGTTCAACAACCACCGTAATTTCATTTGTTCTGCGGTCGCTTTCAGTATTATTTCGTCTCTCGTGCTTCAGCTAGGCATCTGCGTATTGCATTCGACCGTCCTACGCACCTGTCTCCCTCACAGTCCGTATCGCGCGATGCGCGTACACTGAAGATACCTACAGAGTGCTAGATCCCTCAAAAACAAGTTACTCTTCCTATACTAAATAAACATAATTTACACAGGTCGTGTAATTAATTTCAGTGTATAGAACTCCTGAGGCTGCACTGGCTTGCTGGAGCTAAAATTTTGAGCCAGTGGGATCTCTGCATGGTTATTCATCTCAATATTCCGGTCAGGTCTGAGTGGGTATGGCACTTAATACGTTAATTACCTTAATTCTTTTTAACTGAGCTTGTTCACTTTAGCCAGGGCAGAAGACTTCGCTTTTCGGACGTCATTTAGATGATTGTCACCAATCTAAACTAAAGAATCTGGTTTTCACTTTTCGAATGGGCGGGGTGTTGCGAACAGAAACTAACATAATAAAATTCTGCATGTAACTGGCTGCAAAAATATTAAGGGTGGCGCTAATGTACACCGTCAAACGTAGCCGCTTGTTTCGATTCAGCTTTAACTCTGGTTCGTTCCTTCTTGTTTCAGAAGTGTCATTTGCCACAGCAGTTTCACGTTGCTATAGCTCATTAAATCGCGAATCAGAGGTCATCGCTCAATAACCATACAAATCGCTGCTTTTTGCACAGGTTCATCCAACCATTGTTTTGAGCGTCCAAGATACAACGTTGCTGCAATGAACATGTATAGTGTCTGTGTCGAGTAACACCCCGCTACAATTTGTCAAGTGCATGCACCCACGCGGTTTCGCAAGGCGAGCCAATGTGCCTGTTCTCCTTTCTTGTCTACATATCTTCCCTGGCACGGCACGCTGCGTTGAACAACTAGGTTTTTCCTAGAAGAGCCCACCGCGTATATATGACTCCGAATTCAACGGATTCACAACCACCTGCGTGGGAAACGTGAACGCAGTTATCGCCGGTTCGTAAATCTCTTCCAAGGCTTTCGCGAGGTTCAGCCGCCACTGAACACCCACGGGGGAAGATGTGTAGGAGAGCGGCGGTGATTAGGCAGCGGCTGGGTGACTGCATAGCAGGCTCGCAGGCGTCGTTTCACCTTACCCTTGACTCTGAAACGAAAAGCGCGGCGAGCACGCGATAAGGGTGCGTCTTCAGAATCTCTGACGACTACGACGATTCGCGCTTGTTTCAGCCCGCGAAAGTATGCGAGGCCGCTCAGCGTCCAGTGACCTAGCAGGCTGCTATTAAAGTGCCTCCTTGAAGGACGCGCACGTGTGTGCTGAATTTGGTATTTTTCGGGGCCTCATTTGAATGCTCGGGCAATAAGAAACGCGCGGCCTTTTGCTGTATACTGGTGCGCGATTGTCTACGTGGCGTTCATACTTCGTACTCGTGAGCATCACTGATCAGTATCAGGGCAGTTATGGTAATCTATAGCTAAAGTTATAGGAAGAGTCTAAAAGCATTTTTTTTTTTTTTTTGCTTCGGAATAGTCGGAGCTCCGTAAACTATCACTACCGATCCAAAGAGGCGGCTTTTAGCGAAGTAAAGCAGCGGCATGCAGAATCTTACAATGGAACAGATACGCTGCTGAACCGACGGAGGTCACGTGCCACTGATTTGGCTGCACTGTTGCCGTTTGTTGTTAGAATTTCCCAAGTGTGGTTTATCTATGCCGAAAACATCTGCACAGCAGTAAAGAATTTCATCAAAGTTGACATAAGCTGATGTTATACGATAATACGCTTTGGTCTTAGACATCACTACCATCCGCTCTTTTCGGCGCTATATTGTCTGTATCACTTTTGTACCTCGACCCAGATATGCATATTAGATTACCACCAACCATGAAAGGTGCAGTACGACTGTTTCTAAGATTACGAATAGGTGTGGCGTCATTATACTCGTCATTATACCTATCCCATGATCGGCTGGGCAGACAGTCCCAATTGTAAAACCACCCCTAAACAAGTGTCTGTACGTATGTCCGAGATATATTGCGCGATATATCGAAGGCCACCGTCTTTTTGAAATGTACGGAGTAAAAAGTTTTTGAAATAGTTCTATTGGGAATATCACCTTGTCATCACCGTGATATCCTGAAAGGGCATAGTAAGTTTTTACGCGAGACGGAACTTGACAAGAGACTATAAATTTGTTCGAACTTCCAACGTTTTGCATCATCGCCACCTTCTCCATCGTTATCAGCAACACCTCTCTCCTTAGTCCCCCCCCCTCCTCCTTCTTAATGCTAAGTAGCAGGCAAGAAAATGGATTCAGACCAACCTCTCAGCTATTCTACCACAATAAACATCTATCCCTCTCTTTCTATCAGTATTAATAAAATTAATGTCATAAAAATTGTGGGAAAAGTTGTTTGTCTGAAATTTCGCTTCATTCTTCTTGATGATCGAACCGAATTGAGCCGCACTATATCATTGCGGATCAAATCTCTGTATTTTATACTCGCAAGTTAGACATTAAAGCAAGCTTACCTGCCCTATATTTAACTCCGTCTTCGCATACGCACACTTCATTCCAACACGGAACATACGAGCCGAAGAACGCAACCGACTCTGATATAGATTCGCTGCAAACGCGGCAGTTCTTTGTGAAATCCAGACCAAGACAGCGTTTCCGATTCACACCAGCCATCCGGTGTTGAACGGCAATCGCCACGACGCGTGCGATCGTTCGTCAGGAAAATGGTGAAACTTTGGTCTCTCGAACCTTATCCTTCACTGCCATGGGAACGGCCGTACAGGCAGGGGCTGCTAACAAAAGCGGGGCAAGGAGGCAAAGGCCACAGAAGCGTCCCTCGCGCCCCGCCGTGTACACATACCGCACCTGGATCGTTCCGAAGCCGACTAAACACCTCTGACGTGTCAGTTCTGACTGCAAAAAAAAAAAGAGGAAGAAAAATAAGCAAACAAAATCTGGCAGCAAAGCACAGAGGAACGAGATACACGCGGAATGGTGAGGTTGAGTCTGCATATGACGGCGTGTTGCACAAGACAGCGGAAACTTATCCAGCTCCGCCTTCGTGGACTTGGCGGCGGCGTCAAAGCGAGAGGCGTCGCGGCGCGCGATTTATACACATCGCTGAAGCCCCTGCAGTAGGCAAACGAGTGCGCTGTGTATAACCTAGTGCGTGTACACCTATGCTCTGGGAACCAACGTCCACTGTGTAAAAAAGCAGCAAGGTTTGGGGACGCCAGAAAAAGAAGAAAACAAAAGAGACCCAGGAAAAAAAAAGAGCAAGTCACAGCATTATCTCAAATTGCAGACGAAAAAAAAAAGGAAAGTAAAGCGTGCGAGAAGCGGTGAAGTGGCAGAGGCGGCCCGTGCTGATAGCGTGAATATACGACGGCAGCTCTGTTGCGCGAGCTCCGTTCGTCGAGTGCGCCCAGACAAGGTGTTGCTCCGACGTCGTACGAGGCTGCATGTACTACGCGATTTCGAGACGCATAGTTGCCAGCCGTCATCGCAAGCACCACGGTTTCGTGGCGACGGTTATAGTTGAATATCGCAGCGTGTCGGTTGGGATGCTCGCACAAGTGTATGAATCGCTGTCGCCCGGTCGGTGCTTACGGTCGTTAGAGTTCCGTGTATGAGTGTTTGTCCAGTCTAGGTGGAAGTGATGCAAAGGAAATGGATTTCAGAAGGTGAGTGGCCGATAGATCTACGTGTGATCTCTCGTGCGTTCCCACCCTATTGTAAGAAAAAAAAATGCGTTTGATTGTATACGTTTACTATAGGAATTATTGAGCAGTAGTCGTGTGCTAATTATGGTCCACATGTCACCGCAAAAGCGTCTACTTTGATATACGGTTAGTGCAAATACAAATTCTATAGCTGCATTTCGAAAAGAGCAAACCGAGGCAGGAAAAAAAAAGCAGATAAACGTGGTCTAATTCACGCTGCCCGCCTCATTATTCGCGCTAGGTTGAGATTTCCTGGACAATAACGCTTTCTTACCCTTTAGTTTTTCTAGGTGCCTCACTAGCTTTGTCAAGCTAACTTTTGCCAGTTTAAGAACAGCATAAGATATTAATGCGCATCAAACGCATAAACACGGGGATATTTGAAACATGCGCGCTATTCCATGTTTCTGGGTCACAGCCGGTGGACACAGGTATATATGAAGCCAAAGGACGTCGTCAGTCTTCTACAGAGCAGTGTAAACGGAGGATTGAGATCGTACGCACACTCGAAAAACGCAAGCGATACGACGAACTCTTTTCGGCCCACTTGGAAGACTTTCACTTCACTTTCGCCGTTTTTACACAAAACAGGGAGAACACTTTCGATGACATGCTTTCCGCTTTTTCAATCAGGTATTGCGCTTCCGAAACGAAAATCATATGAATCTTTACATGTACACTTTTGTGCATGAATGAATGAATGAATGAATGGACTCTGTTTAAAGTCCGGCAGTTTTACCGCTCAGTTTTTTTATGCGGTAATAACGTAGACGTACTGCAGAAAGAGAGAGGGGGGGCACGCTATTAGCACTGCTTCACGCCATTTTTTTACTCACCTTCAATTACATCCCCCTTTACGAAAAGCGTTTCTTCAAACCTTTCTCTTGTTTTCGATTAAATTTTTCTCTTGTTGTTGTTGTTGTTGTGGTTGTTGTTGTTGTTGTTGTTGTTGTTATTGTTGTATTAATCTTCCCGGCCAGGCGCATTTATATTCATTGCATTCATGCCTGAACAAACGAGTTTTATTTTAATTAGGCTAAATTCAGAACCCAAACAAGCTCAATTAAGGTTGCATTGGTGCATAAAAGGTCTAAACTTTCCTATAAAACTGTAATAAATAATTTACTTATAATGATTAGTAAATTATTATTCCTGTGGAAATTTGAGAGTATGTGTGGGCCAACAAAGCCTTATTAACGCGCTAGCGTTAAGGAGCTCGTTTTGCAGAAATAGCGGCGTCGGCGGCGTTGGTTGTGAGCGAAAAATCGTCTTATGCGTGACTGAAAAATCGAGAATGATGCCGATAAAATAAAAAGTGATAAAACTCCTGGGTCAGGGCGGGAATGGAGCCCGGGCCGCTTGTGCGGCAATCTGTAGTTCTACCACAACGCCACGCCTCTGCTTGTGAATAAAGTGAAGAGAACTTCCTCTGCTTGTAAATGCAGTGAAAGTAACTTCCATTTTTTTTTTGCAAACACGCGCGTCCTGTATACATGTTTCACAATACAACATGGAATATTGCCGTAATATAGTGTGGTACAAGCGTACATTGCCATCGGGCGTCACAGCGTGGCATTATCGTAACGGCTTCTTAGTTTTTAAGCCCGTCAGCCACTAGAAAAGGCACACACGCCACTGCACCCTTAAGGTCACGTCGTGGGTGCACAGGAAGTCCGAAAAGATTTCATACACTAGGTGTTTGAAGTACGCACTAGCAACTGTTCCTAGTGCGCACTTCGAACGTTTAGTGTATAGCGGTATTCGGAGAAAACGACGTTCACGTTCAACTCTTAAAGGCGAAGTTTAAGGGTCCCCCAATTTTTCGATCTAGTTTCACTTCCAGATTCAGCCCATTTTGAAAAAAAACTCCTCAAATACTGTCTCGAATTCATGTGCGGTTGTAAATTCAATAACGATGAGCGTACGTAAATGTGGTCACGTGAGCATGTGCGCAATAATTCACCATTAATTAACCTCTACCCGTAAAACGTCGACTTCGTCGGTTATCAATTCATTTATACTATAATAAATAACACAATACGAGAACGACGTTCTGTAGTGGCACCTTGCGAACTCATAATAATCCATTCTGTCAGCATACGTCCCCGCCCAAGAGCCAAAAAACTGTTTATATATTTAACTTTTTTCTTTCCGTTATACCTTTTATTATTTCTCTCTCTCTCTCTTTGCCTTTCCGCCCCCAATCCCCTTCCCCACGCAGAGTAGCAAGTCAGCTATATACATACACCGGCTAAATTATCTGCCTTTGAATAGAGTTCTCTCTCTCTCTCTCTCTCTCTCTCTCTCTACTTCATAATCATTTCAGATATATCAACCTTGATAATAAGCGAAATGACCCAGATTTCTGGCATTACATTATAAGATCATTCGGGAGCTATTAATCCAGCGTGATTTGAAGACACGTATGCATAGTTGCAAGATGCTTCATGCTCTCCTAAAAAAAAAAGAACGATTGACAGTTTTAGACGTCAAATCGGCTTTCGTTCATGCTGTGAGAACGAGCGTTTCGCGTGGGGTGTGACTGCTAGTTTCACTGCCGTAATCAAATTGTGTGAAACTCTACATGTTCTCGGACATTTTTTTCGGCTATGTAGGCCATGCATATAGAGTATTTCTAGGTGCTACACGATACCTGCGCGGCGTTATCGCGTCACGTTGAAGCACGCGTTTCCGCTGAGGAAAGCTTATCTGTGACTCACACCACGGAGTCTGCGAGGCAGACTCTTTTTCGCATCCCATATGGCTCTTAAGCATGACAATGTGTCGCTATATTCAAGACGAAAAAAAAAATAGCCAGTGCACAAGTGGAGTCTCTTGATCCATCTCGGCCGAATTTAAACGCGAGGTGGCTAACGCAGCTGCTCCAGCGCTTACTATCCGTGCTCTAGCGCGACCTGGACCCCAAGAATACGCAGGAGTTGAACAAGGACCGATTACTTACATATAATGAATTCACTAAGCATTACTAAATGAACGAGCGGTAATTCTCAGTGCCAAACTCAATACAGCTTAAGCAATGAGTTTGACGTTGTTACAGACAATAACTTACCTGAAACCACACTTGATAACAGGATATATGTTCAGAAAGAAAGGTAAAAATCAATTGCGAGAAGGTTAATGGCGTAATTACACTAGATAATATGTTCATGTGCTTTGGCAGCGTCCTTTGGCTTTAGCATACTGTGAAAAGGAAAAAAATACTGGTGGCAAAGAGCCCTTCACAACGGAGCTTTGTCAGATCACGCACAGGCCGTCGAGAGATCCGACGATACTACGGTAAAGTTAAACCTTGCTGTCCCAACGTAGGAGCCACCTGCATCAAACTAAGGGTTGATCTTCAGAACCTGAATAAAGTTTAACGTGCTATACGGATCGGAATCAGTTCATGCGACGTAAATGAACTAATCATACTGTGCAATGCTTGCACGCCCAGCCTTACTTTGTTCCGCAAAGCGGGGTCAAAGATTTAAACATTCGTAGTTGTCATTTCGGCGAATGAAAACTTGCAAGTTCAAAGCGAAGATAAATCTTTGTTGCAGTTCAAACAGCCAAAATCAAGCGCAGATGGATGTATAACACGTTTTACACCAGGTGTAGAGGCAGTACATAAAGCACATTTATCATCGTATCACCATCCGTGAACCTCCTAAGCGGTTGCAGTCATGCATTCACGACGCCTCAACCAAACCGAGAACCGGCGCACAATGCAGTGAACTCTATTACCAAGACGCAGCACGAACTCCATGCAATTACTCCATGATGTAATTGCTCGTTTCGTTCCTCTACATATTCAGTTTCCTTTCACTTATGCTGCTTTGATAGCCAGAGGCCCTAAGAAAGGTAGCGTTATATGGAAAGTGGGTTAGATTGAGAAAATACAGCGCATAATACGACTATAAATATGTGAATTGGAAAAGACAAGCTTATGCAATTTTAGCACCAGTGTCACAGAAAATCCTGGTTCTGCAATGACGTCTTAGGTTTCGATAGAAAATATGTTACCAGTATTATGTACAATGTAGCGAGAAAGTGGTTCCATTTTATAGGCATCCATGGGAAAAATGACTGTGAAAAAAATGTATATATATATATATATATATATATATATATATATATATATATATATATGAATTTGCGCCCACAAATTTAGGCGAAATACGCAGTGCTTTAGTGATATCTTTTATAGTTGAGCAATATATCTTTCCTCTATACAGTCGGTGTAGTCATCGAAAGACTGTATCACATCTGAAGTCGTATTATCTCCAGACAAATGCAACCAGCGTTCTTCGAGTCCCCAAAGATGCCGCTTTTTCGACGCAAGAGTTTCATTGTCTCGTTGTTAAGCCCTGCTTGCTGTTAGGACTCGTTCTTCGGGTTTCTCCACTCGCGACCTGTGAGGCCGACCACGCCCCGCTCTTAAACTGTCGCTGTGTAATCGAGAGTTCTCTGACCGGCTGAATGCAGGTATTACGAAAGATGGCGATCTCGATGACTGCGCCGGGGCGGCCTCGCCTGCCTTCGAGAGGCCCGCGTTTCAAAGGCAGACGTCTGAGGTCATCTCCGCCATCGACGAACCGACGGAAAACATCAATCTGAGCTGGTGAGATTTCGAGCCGCATTATATGAACCCATGTAGCTTAAGCCCACGCTTGTTTCTCTGAAATTTGCCTAAGACGTGCCATGTGAACGGAAAACTAGGTCGCTCTCAATAGCTCGTCAGCACTAACTTTCTCAGATTTGTCCTTTCTTCAGCGCGTACGAGGAACTAATGACTCCACAAGTTATCGCTTTGAAATGGGAGGAAGCGGAGAAGAAGGAGGTCTAAATGTTGGCTACAGCAACATCCGCATCCTTGAGTGGCGTGCCAACAATTGATCCACTTGAACGCCGCCTTTATATGAGCATGGCAACAGCAATACGGTGCTATTGGATAGCTTTTGCGTATATTGTGTTTCGAACACGCGTAAGCAAAATATTAGAAATATATAAGGACTCGTTTTTGTTGTTTCTTTTTCTTGTTGGACACCACCTTAATGAGAACCAGCAGACAATCAAGTCGAGAAAAAATGCATAGCATGTTTTTTTTTTTTTGTTTTTAAGTGCGATATTAATGTTATTGAACTAAAGAGTACAAAAATAAATATTGTTTTCGATTGGTTCTCTTAAATACGCATAACAAGGCAAGCCATTAGGTCGGCGTGTCTCAGCAAGGCACGTCGGAATATACGCTGCCGGCCTACAAACCTCATTCAGACGATATCATTGACTCCACCCGAGTCACCTCCCCTGTGCCATACGCTCGAATATATCAGCTTGGTAGTTTGTCATTGGTTTAATTCAGTGTCAAGATACGGGAAGCTTCACCTCAAGACTCTAATGCTCTCTATATGATGCCAACGGCGCTAGCATTTGAATCTTCTTCACTCTTTATTACAAGTTCGCATCCGCACGAAGAACACTGGGTCGGAGCCATGGTGAATAAACTGATAGCACAGTTTCTCGTAGTTGCTTGCACTAAGTATACTAAAAAAAGAGAGAATCGGTAATCTGTTTCTTCGTTTACTATAACCCACGAAATAACTGATCGTTTGTTTTCTGGAACAACTGCAATGCAAAAATATTGGCAACTCTGGCATTACGAAGTGCGAACAAGCCGACATTCACTGTCTGCAGGCGTTAAAAATACGCAAGACACAAGTGTGTGCGTGTGTGCGTGTGGGTGTGTGTGCGTGTGTGCGTGCGGGTGTGCGCGTGTGTGTGTGTGTGTGTGTGTGTGTGTGTGTGTGTGTGTGTGTGTGTGTGTGTGTGTGTGTGTGTGTGTGTGGTGTGTGTGTGTGTGTGTGTGTGTGTGTGTGTGTGTGTGTGTGTGTGTGGTGTGTGTGTGTGTGTGTGTGTGTGTGTGTGTGTGCGTGTGCGTGTGTGTGTGTGTGTGTTTATAATACACTGTTTTGCATTTGCAGGAACGCACCCGAGTTCTACAAGAGGTTGAAACGCTTTCGGCGGACTCAGCTTGAATGTGAGTGACAGGTAATCTGAAGCGAGTCTGAACGCTTGCGTTGAAATGAAAGGTAATTTGTGCAACCAAATGCCTTCGGAACCGGGTATACGTTAGTCGCTTGGTTTCTGTTCCACATGCCTTTGTTGACTAGCGCAGGTGATACTTACTTAAAAACATATTACTATTCCGGGCTTGTGACGAAGACTCCGAACTGAACTCAAAGGTAATCGCAAAGAAAGTGAACACAAGGGCTCAGTCAACAGTATCACTGCAGACTTTCTCGTGGACATGTCGTTCTCATGAGGTGTGACTAAATTCAGCATTAGTGAGTCTTGTTTAGACAACTAAATATTTTACTCTGTTCACTACTGCCAGCAGAGTAGTTGAGCTACTCCTTCCTTACTTTCGCTACTCCAAGAATGGTGGTGTTGCTGCTGCTCTCAATGAGAAGGAAGACACTTATTTCTACAGACCTATAAGAGCTCGGCGCAGCGTCCCTATGACTGTAAAAAGCTGAAATGAACTAAAGTAAAGACGAAATATTTGCTGCGACGCGGACTTCTAACAGCGGTGATCGCAATAATTCTGCGTTGCCATACTGACCCGCACTTTATAACACAATTTGCTGGTAAGATTGTCGATCTTATTGAATGAGCCTACATTGACATATCACTTTTCTAAATGTGTAAAAATTAGATTTTACACTGCCTGTCCCTCGGATGATCAGTTACGAAATAGAATGTTTCGTTGTTCGTTCTGTGTTCAGATGGTGCGCTCGTTTCTCTTAATGTTTCTATTTTACGTCCCGGTTTTTCTTTTTTCCTTTTTTTTTCTGGTCACTTTCTCGATCTTTCTCTGCAGCCTATATATGCATAGTTGTGTTTCTGCCGCCTTTGCGCGTCGAGAGCATGTATCCTCGCGTCTGACAGTCGTTCTTACAGCCACAAATTTCTCCTTTTCTCCCCAAAGATGACACTTGGAACCCTAACCGCTGGGCCAGCTGTCCCGAGGTGGTCAACCCTTCCCCGCGGACTCTGTCCCCCGCCAATCCTGGCGTTCGCTTCTACGTCGGAACAAGCCCTTCGGGTCAGAGCATCAGCGACGAAGACGAGGAGGAACGGTACAAGACGTACCTCTACTACCTGCTGAGCACCACGCGGAGCGCGAGCTCGGAGATCCGCTTCCTGGACCTCTTCCAGGAGGCGCAGGACAACATCCGCGCCTTACCACGGCAAGAGAGCAGCTCGACGTTAGACGTCGTGCTCTCCTCGCGACAGCAGCTGTCCTACTCGCCTTCTGAACTCCGTGGGCCAGCGGGCGTCCTGGTCTTCCGGTGGCGGCGATGAGTGCTTCAACCGAAAACGGCTGGTGCTTTACGCCCAGGAAGACATCGGGGCCGGAAAAGCGTTGGCTCTCGGGCACCAGCACCACGCTTACTCACAACCGGTCAGCCCCGAAGGATCGCGCGTCAGCGTGGCCACGATCAGCGCGTCAGTTAGCGAGAAGATGACGCTGCCCAGGAGGCTTAACAACGATGCGCGCGACGCCCGCAACGGCCGCGTGTGGTGCCGTGCCTACGACAACCCGTGCTTCGACTCGACGGGCAGCCCGAAGTCTTCGTTCCAGGACAAAACTGTCTGCGCCAGTGTTGGTAACGGTGATACCCGCGTGGTGGCGCAGCAGCCGGCAACCGTACCGCCTTCCGACGTGCTGTTTCACCAAGACCACAAGTGCAGTGTGTTCGACGTGCGAAGGCTCAACGCTATTCTTCGTTACGTGTTCTGCTGCGACTGCTGCGTGTGGGACGCGAGCCACGCTCGTCGAGCGACGGAGTCGTAGGGCTCGACAGTCGCAACGGCATGCACACGTACCACGTGTGTCGTTCTTCATGTGATAATTGCTCGCGTTTTAAACGCACGTACTGTCTCGCCTTAACAATGGATGTAGGGCGAACGAAAGTTTGCGCTACGTTATTCGAATTTCGTAGACGTAGTGATCGAACACACCCTGCCAACTTGTCAGCCAAGGACTCTTCCAAAGAATGTTTGTACAGTGAAGAAGTTTTTACTTGTTTTTAGCTGGTTTATTATATTCGCATAAAACTAAGACACTCAGTGTCTTTGCTTTTTGTATTCACACAGGCAACTTTCTGTAGCATAGTCTAGTGTTGCACTTCCAAGAACAAAAATAATCAATAGTTTCATCTCGTCATCTTATGCACAGAATAGTGTACGCATGTTCCCGCAAAGCAAGGCAAAGCTATGGGCAGTTCTCGCCAGCTACACAGTACACACAGAGGGCACATGTTATGACCCCGACTTTCGGGTGACACATTGTCAATATTTTCGGCATACAACACCACTGGCAACTTCTGCTGCGAGATGCTGCATACACGTCCAGCGATCGAGTGAAGCTCCTTCCACAGCAACTGTGCAGTGAACCCGCAACAGTTGGCTTTCTCGCCACGCTGCTGGCGTAACCCCACGCGTCTTTTCGAACAATGCCTTGCTCGAAACGTTCCTCCACTTCCACCTAGTTGAGCCCCAGCCTCAACTCTACCAAACTCTCCGCTTCTCGAAAATTACCGAAAAGTTCCGTTGAAGCGCAGTGGCTACTCCGTACTGGAGTGGCGGTAACCCTTTCAAACGCTTTGTACACAACTGCGTACCCCACTTGTTTTTGCTAGTTCTTTCTACTAGGGGATAATAAAGTTAGAGATATGATGAGGTTTAGATTAAATTAAACTCCTGCCTAATAAACTTGTCTTCACTTAGCTTCAGTTTTCACCATACCGTTGCATATAGTCACTTTGCTGAAAGCACTAGCTTGGTCAACGAGTTGTTCTGCGAGGCGCTTCTCTGAAGCCACGTCTAAGTATATTTTTCTGTTCTCAAACTCAACAAAACCAGAAACCAATTTTCACTGCATTTCTAGCCTAAGATTTGATTTTATTTATGCAAGAAAACGACCTTCGGTATAAGTAGATATTTAATCTAAATTTAGTTTGAATAAACTGTCATAAAGCGCAGAAATAGATTTATCATCATCATCACTTATTTTTTCTTTAAGGGCCCCTGACGGGGTATTACATAAAGAGGGGGGGGGGGTCGAACAAGGACACACAAAGGCGATTCCAGAAAGAACATGAAGTAGCTTAATATTCTTGAATTGGAATTACAGGGTAATAATAAAAAAAGAACTCGTTATACAACTAATATCATGATTAAAAAATGAGAGAAAGGCAACTTGTCTACACAAAATTTACAATTATTTTTGTTTCAATAGAATATCGACTGCCTTGAAAACATGGTGTGTCAATTTGATGCATTTACAGACAGTTCTTTATAGGTGGTCTCTGAAAATTGTGTACACCACATGTTTTTGCTAGTTACACTAGTGAAAGGCGTTTATAGTATTGATAAAAAAAACGCGGAGAAAGTTTTTATTTAATGTGAGTCGTTATAAGCATATGTGTAACTGTAAGGCGTATAAATAGCTTTTTAACAAAAAACGGAAATATAAAATAGGGAAGAGCATGATACGCTGCGATATATGTAATTAACTTTGGTTAGATCAAGTAACGTAGAAAAATAACGGAGGTCTTCCCGTCACGATGAAGACGCCACTGCTAGAAATGATTATGCAGTCCACCCGGAGTGTTGAAGGGAGGAATATCAAAGTATACGGTGCCTAGAATAAACTAGTGATTTGTCATGTTAATCGCATGATTGTTAGATAATGGAGATATTTGTTCGGCATATCTCTTAAGAAAACGTTCGTAATTTTATCTGGTCGCCGTACAAACATACGAGTGCATGTTGAAGTCTGATGAGTTGTCCGTCATCTGTGCCGCTACTTCAGTATGTGTACTCTCTTTATAGTTCCGGAATGATAGAAGCCTCAGGAACCGTTGTTGCTTATCATGAGTTGGCACGATGCGCTTTGTTGGAACGTTGAGCTCTCTCCGTTCAATTTTATATTAATATTTTAGGTGGGCTAACGTTCCAGTTTTAATAGCGAGTTGTGTGTTTTTTTTTTTTTAACACCTGTGCTTTATTTTAGCATTTTGTGTTGTGATGATCGTATTTTGGTTGTGCGTGCTGCTAAAGAGGTATGGATTGAAACACTGCAGTAACATCTATTCGGTAAAAAGAAAAACACCCACACCCACAAACGATTAGAAATTTATGCTTTTTACGTGTTCTGAGCATCTAGTCATCACTTTCAGAAAAAAATCAAATTTTAAATATTAGGAACAGTCTGACCGCGTTTAATGTCCCAGAAAATAAACTTTCCGTACCACCCAACATTGAAATTGCCCATTTGTTTTTGTGCTTTAGGAGAACGTGGACAGATTAATGCGTAAAAAATTCAGGGATAGTAGCACATATAATGCGCTCAAGTTTTGGGATGTCGCAAGCTGAAAGAATTCGGGACATCTGTCACACTGAAAAATTAATCTGATATTCCAAACTGCACCTGCGGCATTCTTCACTCAATATTCAGTAAGGCACGTCAAACCCAATGATCTCGTTGATTGAATAAATTTATACTGAAAAGCCCGTTTGAAGCAAGAGAGAGAGAGAGAGAGAGAGAGAGAGAGTGTGTGTGTGTGTGTGTGTGTGTGTGTGTGTGGTGTGTGTGTGTGTGTGTGTGTGTGTGTGTGTGTGTGTGTGTGTGTGTGTGTGTGTGTGTGTGTGTGTGTGTGTGTGTGTGTGTGTGTGTGTGTGTGTGTGTGTGTGTGTGTGTGTGTGTGTGTGTGTGTGTGTGTGTGTGTGTGGTGTGTTGTGTGTAATTGACGAATGCCAGTAATTAACAGGAGTGGACTCTTCGTTCTCTGCCTTCAATCGGGCAGCCAGCTGTTTGTGCTTCTCATATGTACAAGTCACTTATATTGGTGGCTATTTGTAGTGTCCGTTTAAAACCCCAAGAACACAGGATAAGGAGTTGGCTGAACGCCAAATGACGAGCGAATCGGTGCGAACAAAGGCTTGCGGGCAGTGTGCGTGTTTGCACTAGCTCAATGTACATTAGCCCATCCTCTAGCTCGCTGTATCCCGGCACGCGCACCGTGGGTTTAACTGTATCACTCAGAAAATTAACGCCAGTTCCACGCCCGCGCGATGTGAGTAAACAGCGGGGCTGGAAAGGAAGCATCGACGCCTGGCTAACGCACATTGATTTGTTGGTTGGTTGGTTTCTCAACACCTTGGCGCAACCCACCTAGGGGGGATAGGCCATGAATGGGACGGTGCCTTGCTTTTAGATGCGGAGCATCTAATACTCGAGGCTTGTAGTGCGGCGCCCTCCGCAAGCTTCCTCCTCCTTCTTCCACCATCTGTGCATCCCTTCCTCCTCTACACACCGCGCGCGCTTCACTCCTCCACCATCTGTGCACCCTTCCTCCTCTACACACCGCGTGCGCTTCTCCTCTTCACGAACATTCGCTAGCTGTATAATGTAGCGCGCACGCGCCGTCGCGCTTCGAGAACATCGGCAGCTGACGCGCGCGCATGCGCCGTCGCGCTTCGAGAACATCGGCAGCTGACGCGCGCGCATGCGCCGTTGCGCTTCTCCCCCTTCTCGAACATTCGACAGCTGACAGTGCATGCGCCGTCGCGCTGTATATATACTCAAGGTCGGTGCTCGCTCGCTCAGTTGCCGCTCGTCGGTTGGTTTGTACGGCGCGTCGACGTCCGAGGTCGCAATGATCGACGTCCCTTCGACCAGCGCCGGCCAAAGTGTTGGCGGAACCGCAACCAAGTCGTCGTCCGAAGACAAGGCAGCGCGGAGAAGAGCTCGCGACGCCGAACGTAAACGTCGGCGTCGAGCGGAAGATGCTCAACTTAGAGAACGTGAAGCCGCTGAGAGACGTCAGCGTCGAGCAGCAGCACCGGATTCAGCCGCTTTGAAACGTAAGCGTCGACAAGAGGACCCGGACTTTCGAAAACGGGAAGCCGAGTGCAAGCGTCGGCGACGAGAGGCCGATCCCGATGCTGCCCGCGAGCGCAAGCGCGCCGAGGTAGCGGCGTGGCGCGCCAAGCAGTATGCCACGCCCAACGCTCGCTTCAAGCGCGACTTCCTCGACTGAAGCTTCGGCCACACCTGCAAGGTGTGCGATCGCCTTTGGTTCGATAACAACTTAACTCGGATCGGCAACATTCAGAACAACTCCAAAGCGTTGTTGGTTCTTTGCGATACGTTTGGAAAGGGCACCGACTATGCCGACTACGTCGTGTGTGCTACGTGCAAGCAGTCGTTGATTGCCGGTCGAGTTCCCTCGGCTAGCGTGAGTTACGCTCCGCATCCTCCTCAGTGTTCCCCCGAGGGAAGCTGCGGGCAATTTTTTTTAAATTAATTCACTTCTTGAAAGAGAGGGTTGGATTAATTAGGTAATATAGGTAATAATAAAAAGGTGTTAAATTTCTAAACAAAAAACCTTAAAAAGAAAACATAATAAACACACAAAACGAAAAAAATTCTACATAAAACAACTGAAGCTACTTATTTTTAGCATTGGCCATTCTTTTAGATTCTCGTAAGAAATTTGTAACAGTGGTAAAAACGCTCCTCTGAATCCAAATGCGACTGCGCCAAATGAAATAATCACCGGAAGTGTCAAGTTTAGGTCAGACTTTCGTAGGGGTTCTTCTAGTAAATTTTTCCTTTGACTTTTGAATTTTTGGCATGACAAAAAGAAGTGCTCCTATGATTCCTTCTCATTAGAATAAAGGCACAAAGGCGACTGTGCCAAACCGGACCTGTGAAGGTAAAAGTTCGATGAGGGGACTCGACTACGCAGCCTTGTAATTACTATTTCTTACTTTCTTGATGAGCAC